CCTCCTCGATCTTACAACGAGGAGGTCACAGGCCAGCTCAGACGGGCCTGGAGGAAGCTGCTCCAGGCGAGGCACCACTGGGACCAGCTGGAGCCCTGGAGCGCGGGGTTCCTACCAGCGCTGCGCACCCTCGCCGACGTGGAGCCTCACTTCATCGGCGCACAGGCCATCTTCGCGCTGCAGCAGTTCGCCAAGGTGCGGGCCCAGACCTGGGAGCAGCACCTCATGCGGCAGCGCTCCAAGCGGTTCTACGAGCGCCTGAGCGCAAAGTTCCCAGGCTCAGGGGGCTACCTGCACCGCATTTGCCACTGGAAGCAGGCGTGGAAGGAGCCCATCTCGTCGGCCAAGAAGCTGAAGTTGCCAGCGGACCCGCAGCTCGCGGTCAATCAGGAGGCGCAGGAGTGGGCCAGCATCTGGCGCGCTGGGTCAGGTGACTACACCAAGTTGTGGCAGGACGCTCAGGTCCAGGCCCAACGGATGGCCCACGCGCAGGAGCTGCCCAACATCGACGCGATGCAGGTGCGCACAATATGCCGCAGTTACAAGTGGAAGACGGGGCTCGGGCTTGACGGCTGGCACTTCGGGCACCTGGCCTGGCTCAGTGACGAGGCCTTGACCAGCCTCGGGGACATCCTCATGTTGTGCGAACGGCTCTGCTCATGGCCCACGGCCATACGCATGCTCATACTTTTCCTGGTCGCCAAGGAAGACGGCGGCGGCAGGCCCATCACCCTGTTTCCCACGCCAGTACGCATCTGGGAGGCTGTTCGTGATCCCTTGATTCGGCGGTGGGAGCGGGCACACGTGAGGCCCTACGACTGGGCATCACCAGGGCGCAGCAGTGAGCATGCTGTTTGGAGAGCGATGCTGGACGACGAGGCCCTGGAAGGTACCTGTTTCGCGTCCCTCACCGCCTTGATGGATTTGGAGAAGGCGTATGAATATGTAGCGCTCAATTTGATTTGGATTCTCGGCATGGTGCAGCAAGCACCCATGAGCGTCTTGGCCCTTTCTCTGGGGTCGTACGCTTTCCCTCGGGCGGTCCGAAAGGGCCAGGCCGTCGCCGACGCCATTTGTACCTACGTGGGGTTGCCCGCTGGGTCGAAGTATGCCAATCGCTTCCTGAAGATTGTGCTGTATCCGATCCTGGACGTGGTGGCCCGATGGCCAGGGGCCAAGCTGGAGATCACGAAGTTTGTGGACGACCTAGCCCTGCGGATGGTGGGCAGGAGCACACAGCTGAAGGTGATCTTCCCCGACCTGGCCCGCACCCTCATCCGCCTCTTGGAGTCGCTGCTGCAGCTCAAGGTCTCGAAGGGTGAGGGAGGCAAGTCCAAGTTCGTCTCCAGCGACGGCTCTTTGGCACAGGAGCTGGCACGGCCCATGGCGGACATCGGCCTGCAGCACGGCGAGAGCGAGCGCTGGTTGGGCGTGGACTACCAACCCCAGGGCCCTCGGAAGAAGGCCACCAGAGCCAGACGGGCCAAGACTGCTCGAGGCCGCTGGCGCAAGGCGGCGGCCCTCACGCGGCGAGGGGTGAGGGTACGCCCTGTGGTGCAGCAAGGCCTCAAAGCGTCAGTTGCGTATGGGGCGACCTGCGCTGGCACCCCTCCTGCCGTCCTCAAGTTCGTCATGGCCAGGACAGCTGCTGTGCGTGCGGGGGCTGGAACCTTTCGTTCGGGCACGTTGGGCTGGGCGATCGCGCCGAGGACGGACGGCGCCGAGCAGCTCAGCATCGCCCCCCTTCGGGCATGGCTACGCGAGGCCTGGGGCCAGCCCGAGAGACGGAAGGAGATGGCCCACGCGTTGGGCCGCCAGTGGCCCAAGGTGCAGCGTGCCCTCACCTGCGGCCCCGCCAAGTTCGACGCCTGGAAGATGGTGCGGGGGCCAGCGGCTGCCACCATTCTGACGGTGCACGAGCTGGGGTGGCACGTGGAGGACGCCTGGACCATCCTCGACGGCGCCCACGGCAAGTGGGACATCCGCGAGGTCGCCCCCCTCGAGATCCTGCGGTCGGCAGAGAGGGCGGTCGCAAAGAAGAAGCTCATGGACTGGGCGCTCGCTGATGAGGAGCGCCAGCCGCTCCGTCCCACCCCCTTCCTGTTGCCAGTCAAGCAGCTCATGCGCTCCAAGCCCACGGAGACCTGGACGAGACACCACATCAACAGTGCCAGAACGGTCGCGCTAGGAGGGTACCCTGTACAGATGGTGTGCTACGAGCGCGGCCAGGTCACGAGTCCTCTATGCCCTCTGTGCGGCAAGAAGAAGGGCACTTTGCTGCATGTGTATTTTCTTTGTGATGCAGATGTATGCGTCACGATTCGTGATGGGCTCACGGAGCCGAATCTCAAGCACAGTTTTCGAGACGTGGTGCATTTGGGCGAGGCGGCCGCCACGAAGGAGGAGCAGGGCTGCAGAGGCGGTGACACGCTCTTCTGGAAATGGGCTCGCGGCTGGATCGCGGACCCCGTGGCCGACTACCAGGTGCCCACGCCGCCAG